CTATGTTAAATATAGTTAATGATTTTAGAACTCCTCTTCCCCATTCCCCATTCCAAGTGGTTCGCACATTGTCTCTTACTGCCACACAATCCGGGCAGGTCCCAGCAATCCTGATGTTTGCCTGAGCCATGGCTGCTGCAATGCTGGAGTCCAAAGGCCCTGAGCACTGTTCCTGATCAACACTCCTCTGGGAGAACTATAGGGTGCTACCTGACTGACCAGGACTTGGGTCCCTAGCTCTCTAGAGGGCCCTAGCAGAAGAAAGGACCATTTCAGAAAGGACAAGCATTTCTGAATTGCCAGTGAAAGTCAAATTTGCAAATCCTCATTTCTCACTTTTGTTCACAAGAGCCTCAACTGCTTTTTAGGGAATATGGGTAAATGAAATGCAGTGAGGGGGTTGTAAGACAGGAGATTTAAAATATGGAAACATGCTTCTCAGAAATGAGCTTGTAGTCCTTTCTACTCCACTTATAATAGTGGTGGAAAGTTCATTCATTCATTCACTGAACATGCCCTGCACATTATGGCCTTTAAGCAATTGGCCTATTGTTGGTGAAACAAAGTATTTCTGGTCTTGATTTGCAAAGATTACAATGGAGATGAAAGAGAAAAAATAAGTAAGAATTTGGTGGGATGAGTTGTTTACAGGAAATGAACACAAAACTGGTAAATAGTCACAGAAAAGACTCCCCGAGGGTGCTATGGATGGGTCAGAGCAGCTGATATTTGAACTGATCCTAAAAGATGAAAAGCAAGTGATAGAGAACAGACAAGCAGTGGGAGCAAGGGGCACAAGTGAGCTAAAATAGAGTTCTAGGTAGAGGGAACAGATGACACCTAGGTTCTCAGGTGAAAAAATCTTGTTGGATTTAAAAGAAAAAACAATAGGGTTAAATGGGATGAGGCTCGGACTAAGGTTTTCAAGGAACCATTCTGCACAGAGCTTGAGACTCTGGGGAATGTGAATAAAATGCTGAGTGTGATAGGAAGCATGGAAATGCTTTACGCAGGGAAGTATCAACAATAGAACAACAATAGAATGTCTGCTTTTAAAATAATCTGGCTGTTGTGTGGAAGATAGGTTGGAGGATGGAAAGATAACTTATGGCTTTGAATAGAGGACACAGTAGCTAGAGTTAGGGTGATGCAGTGGGGGTAAGGTGCATGAGTTAGAAAAATATTTGATGTAAGAAAAAATAGAAATTATTGGTGGGTTGAACATGGCAGGTAGTGAGGGTATGAGAGAAGAGAGAGAGAGAGAGAGAGAGAAATAGAGAGAAGAGGGGAGAGGTGTAATATGTGGGATGGCTGTTGTCTTTCTGTTATAAACAAATGAATTAATGGAAAATGGAGGAAGGCATTTTGCTGGTGGAGAGATCAAAAGTTCCACATTTAGCAAGTCAGACAGGCGATGCCTGAGAGACAGTTAAATGCTGGTGCCAACTGAACAATTAGATACAAAAACATCAGGGCTGCTGTGCTGTTGGAGCAGCTGCATTTGATGCCTTGGAAATGAATGAGATAGCCAAGGGGGAAGTACAGGGAAGCGAATAAGAGAAGAAATCCTAGCACAGCCTGGGGAAGTCCAACTTTTAAAGGTCACAAATAGTATTTGGGGGGGAGAGCGGGGGACTTCTTGCAAGATACTGACAGCAAGTCCTGCATGCCTTCCTACATTGTCACTACCCTCTCTCCTACACCCTCAGCAACCACAACTTCTGAGAGGGTCGGGGGCCAGGCAATGAGGTGGGGAGTTAAAAGCACTGCAGGAATTGTCCAGGGAAAGTGCTGTGCATGGAAGTGATTGAGTGCTGGCTGTAATTGGGAAAGTATTTTGAGAAATGAGATAAGGCTGTGAGTTATTACGGAAAGCAAGATGAAGAACACTCTTGACTAGATCATTTGCTTCCATCGAATACATTATTTCAAATGAGATGATGTACACCAGCAGGGGATATTTCAAGCCACCTAACGTTTTTCAAATGTCCCTATAAAAATCCTAAAACTTTTTCAATTCTTAAGTATGAATTACATTTTGGATAGAGGAACATTTATATCCAGACCTGCATGATATTCCAAAAGGGGGCTTTAGAGATTGGAAAATAAGGCATAACAATAGAACTGCATGCGTAAGTTGGTGAATCATTTGAATGCTAAGGTTAAGAGATGGTAAATGCAGATAAGGGCTCCTAAATCTAGATATGAGTCACAAAGTTAAGAAGGCAATTCATAAAAAGTGACTGACTATAGCTGCTACAGGAAAGTAATGGACACAGAAAGAAGAGCGATCATTTATAAGAATATTTATAATGTTTTTAAAGACACTGGTGTTGAACATCTCTCTGATCCTACATTGCTCCCTGACCTCACTCACCAAAAACAGTCTACTTTCTGTCCACACTCTGAATTTTGACAATAAGCAGAAAGTGAGCCAGGGAGGGAACGCACACATCTTGCTTTTTTCTCTTTTCTTTTCTCTCTCATTTTCTTTTCCATGTCAATCTCTTCCATAAAAAAATTTCTTTTTTTCTTTTTTCTGTTTTTTCTTCTCCTCTGCTTCCTCTTGCTTTTCTATTCACCATTAACAGAAAGGTTTTTCTTTGTAATTTGTGATAGGAACTTGTTTTGACCTTGTTCTGTTTTTATCCATGCTTTTTATTGCATGATTTACTTGAGTTAATCTATGCTTTTCACCATGATCCAATGTCACATTAGGAGTTTAAGAAAAATCCACTCTTCACAATTTCTAACTGCTGGGAGTTTGTAAAAGCCTAGACTGAGGTTCAGAGCTGAATCATTTCTTAGTTCCAAGGAATATCTACCTTTCTTTTCCTGGGGTAACTAGATGCAGTCATGGTAATGGCTTGGAAGGGATGAAGAAGTTAATGACCCAGAAAGGAAACAGGTCCAATAGTATCACAAAATGTTTTCTTGGTCCAGCAGCATAACTGACATGTTTTTCTTTCTACTGCTAATTCAGAACTAGATATCCAAGGCCGTCTTCAAGGCCACCTGATTGCTGAATGAAACCTTGTATGGGGTGAATGTATGAGAAAGCAGCCAGAGGCTGGTAGGTATCTCTTCTGCCACCAGGTGCCACTGCCAGCTCCTGAAGTCACAGCCAAGCAGAAGATCAGCATCAGGATACCAGGAGGCTAAATTTTGTCTTGCCTCGCCCCTGTTGGAGTCTAGGATGCTTGAGGAGGTGGTGATAAAATAATAGAGTTTAACACATCTAAATTGGCCCCTGTGTCTGTCTCCTCATCTTTAAAATGGGCTTGGAAGGCTGTGGCTATGGCTTAAGTGGTAGAGTGCTTTCCCAGCAAGTGCAAGTCTCTGAGTTCAAACCCTGGTAGAATACACACCAAAAGAAGATGGGGTATCATAACAAGCAGTAGCTTTTGAACTCATTTCAAGGATTAAATGTGCTAATACATGAAGGCACTTAGGAGAGCACCTGCTTCCAACCAAGCACTCACTGAGTGCTCAAACTTCCTCTTCCTTTGCCAGTTTCTAATATCCCTAAGAAACAGACGGTTATTCAAGCTGGGCACCCCAAGTGAGTACAAAGCAAATGTGATAAAGTCTCCTCTTTAGGAGCGCTTAAATCTCGATTTCCTAGAATGCCTTACCTCAAAGACTGCGATCACACATAGAATACACAAGAACCACAGCTAACACTAGTGCTATTAATGAACCCAAGTACTGGGACTAACAAGTTCCTCATTGAACCTACAACTTCCACAAGATAGATGCTTTAAAATTAATATTTTATAATTGGGATAATAGAGATTTATAAACACAGTAGAATCAGGGTCTTTCTGACAACAAAGCCTCTAGACAAGGTGAATGACTGAAATTTATAATAGAGCAGAGGCGTGATGCTTTTCTTGCAGTTCATTTCCGATGTCTCCTAGGGGAAAACGAATCAGTGCATTTACCAAATCCCTTGACTTCTCTGGGCTTGAATTCTTACAAGTGAATGAGGCTATTTATACTAGATGATCTATAAGACTCCTTTCATCTCTGAAACTCTACTGTTCAATTATCTAGCCACTGGAATAATCAACAGCTGAAAAAATCAGAAGGAATTCTCCCAGAAACTGTAGCTTTACTGTTTTATTCTTCACTTTAACTTATAATGTTGGCTTCCTTTTGCATTTTTACTAAGTGAAAGTTATTCTGCAAATTTGCCTCAAGGGCAGCGTTCGTTTTGTTAGAGCTGTCAAAAAATAAAAACATGTAGGTAATAATATTTGGTGTGATACAATTTTAATAGAAATAATTTTTGAGTGAGGGTCAGCCTTTCTGAATCTTTGCCTTGTGTCCTGCGGCTTAGCAATGTGTGACTCACTCTCACTTTCATAGCAGCACAAGGAGGGACCATTTGGAAGAGTTTCTCTACTGCAGAAGATAATTTTAAATTGTAGTAACTTGATCAAAGATCAGACTCTGCACTTGTCCTTAGGGCCAGGGCCCAGAGAAGTTATGAAGGGCTTAATGGAAATTTCACAGTGGGTTGGGGAGGCATTTATTCTCTAAGCCTTATATGCATTTTCTTGGTTTCCATAAAAAGTGACTTATAGTTGAACGTAGTTGGTTGAAGATACCATTTTTTAAAATTTCAGAATAATGGAGAGAAGAGTTGGAAGGTTGAGAAAAAGATGGCAAATTTATTAATGGGTAGAGTCATGGCATATTTCCTGCCACTAAGGCTATTTGAAAAAATACAGAAAAATTGAAAAAAGCAATAAATTATGCACACCTTCATAATGTGTAAAATAACCACTTTTCTTTATTTAATAGACACAGAAGTGTCTATTGCTGTGTTTACTTTTAATTTACATGTGTATATATATGTATATATATACATATTGAGTGTATATATATATATATACTCAATTATATCATATATGCCATTTACAGTTTTTCTCTTAGTTAAAACAAAATGTTGCACGGTTCCTCAGGCTCTCGCCCCTCCTTCGCGCTCCCGGGACCATGGCTGATCCTCATGTGAGGCAGATCAAGATCAAGACCGGCGTGGTAAAGCGATTGGTCAAAGAAAAAGTGATGTATGAAAAAGAAGCAAAGCAACAAGAAGAAAAGATTGAAAAAATGAAAGCTGAAGATGGTGAAAATTATGTCATTAAAAAGCAGGCAGAGATCCTGCAGGAGTCCCGGATGATCCCAGGTTGCCATTGCAGGTTGGAGGCAGCCTATACCGACCTGCAGCAGACACTGGAAAGTGAAAAGGACTTGGAAGAAGCTGAGGAATACAAAGAAGCACGTCCAGTCCTGGGTTCAGTGAAGTTAGAAGCCTGAACCTTCTATATAGTGTTTTCTGCATTAAATTCTGGGGCCCATTTTACTAGTCATTGTTTTTAACCACTGCTGTGTGTTCAAAGTAGTATAAGAATGTGTTTTTATGATGCTGTTGCATATATTTTTACTTTGTTCAGAATAGGCTAAGCTAGAATCATGATATTGATAAACATAACTGAAAAGAGAAGGACCTTAAGTAAGACATGACATTAAAAGTGGAGAAAAAGCATTAACTTAAAATATATGATTATGAGCTGAGTTGTACCCAATCGAATTCATATAGTGAAATACTAACCCCCACCTCAGAGATTTGCAAGGGGTGATTAAGCAAAAATGAGGCGGTCATGGTGAGCACTAAGCCAATCTTGCCTTTACAAGAAGAAGGTCTTAGAAGACACAGAGGACCATGAAGACCATGTGTACACACAGGGTAAGGCCAGCAAAGGGGTCAGCTACAAGCCAGAGAGAGGCTTACAAGAAACCAAACCTACCCACACCTTGATCTTGGACTTACTTCCCCCAGAAGGTAAGAAAATAAATAAAGTTCTGGATTGGCTACCTAGTCTTTGATATTTTGGTATGGCAGCCTTAGCAAACCAATGCTGATATTAGGTAAATAGAAACTAAAGTACCTGATAACTAAATAGAAAAGGCTGAGAAAGAGGCATGGAGACCTGAAGGACTTTGGGAAGGGTGACTGGTTCATAGAAATGCCTTTTCACCAAGTTAGGAAACCCAAGCTGCTTGTAAACAATGAAGCCAGATTGCCAAGCAGGAGTTGGAGTGGCCTGTAGACTATCTGGGAAGAGACATCACCCTGCTTTAGAAAGGTGCGTGTGAAGTTCAGAGTTGCCGCGCAGGTTTTCTTTTTAAATTTATTGAGGCAGTTTTCCCCTTCCCCCCTCTCCAGAAATGTGCCTTCGTTAAAAATAAGGACTGAGTCTAAGCATCATTCAGTCAGAAAGACCTTCCTGGCCATTCTGTGTAAGTGATCACTTCTCACCACCATCCACTTCCCTTGGTTTGTCTTTAGAAGACCTATCACCATCTGATCATTCCACATTCATTCGTTTACTTTCTGCCTCCTCTGACTAGAATGTAAACTCGGAAGGCAGGGGTGTTAGATTTCATTCATGGACAGAATCCTCAGTATTTGAACAATATATAATACACAGTAGGTGATCAGTTTTTTAATAAATCAAAAAGAAAGAAAATAAAGGAGGAAGAAATGGGGAAGGAAAACTGCATAATCCCACAAGCATGGTTACTTTCATCTGTGAGGAAAAAATTGAGTAGCTGTCACAGAGACTGTATGTGGCCCATAAATCTCAAAATATTTACTTTCTGGAAAGGGAAATCTTAACATCCTCAGATATACAGGATCTTGGTCACTGATTCTGGGAATGCTTGTTGGTGCTACCACTTTGGTTCCCAGTTTGTCACTACTTTCCAATTGCAGGTAGTTTCTTACCTCACAATTCTTGCTGAAAATGTACCCCTGAGAAACTTGTGCATCTGTAGAACAGAAAACACTCACAGATATGCATAGCGGCACCTTTCCCTATAGAAACCAACTTACAGACATTCAAAAAGCCTATTAATTGGATAGTGAAAAGATGTTGTGGTATAGGCATACACAACAATATGTATGAGTTCCAGAAATAAAATATTATATCATATAACATGATACATTTTTATAAGCAAAAAGGTATATACATTGCAAAAATACATTTATATGCAGTACAACTATAGAAAGTAGTTAAGAAAAGGTTGCTGGTTACTTTTGGGTGCAGAGTGAGAGGAATGGGGAGGACTATATGTTTAGTATATTATTGCCAAAGTCCTAGGTCCTTGGGGGTTGGAGCTGATGGGTTCATGACCTATTACTACACTGTTGCTAAATAACTGTTCATTAATTATTAATGAATAATGAGAATGACACACACCAAAGATTATGAACAATCTAATTCTGTGCAGGTGAAGTCCAATTAGGGAGTTTGACTTGAGAAATTTTCATAATTTCTCTGGGCCTTTGTTTCTTAAACAAAATAAAGAGTAAGGACTTGGTTATTCCTTAAGGAAATACTTAATTCTAATGTCTGTGGTTATATAAAATATGGTAGTATTAAGAATATTTTTTAAAAATCACAGTTCAAAGTAAGTGTTTAACAGGAATAAATGGATCATCTAAAGTACAGTGTCATATTTTGGTGGCTAAACATCATCTTAGGGCTTCCAAAGTCAATTGCTGTCTATGAAGTAATCAACTTATCTCCTTACAATGCTGAGCAGTACTCTGGATTTAATGGCTGGTTGTTCTGTCTGTTTCATTATCCCTACAGTTAAAGAAGCTTTACATTAAGGCTGTGAACTACTATAAATGTCTTGACTATGAATAAGTGAGGCGTCTCCTGTCCATAGACCAGCTGCTTGCTGACACTTGTTATGAGGTTGCATGAATTATTGACACCATTCCATGGTTCCCATAAATAGCAGTTGCTGCTGTTCCAGCTGTCCCTCTATTATGACACGAAGTAAAGACCTGCATTGGCACATATGATAGTTTGATTCTAATTATTGCATCAAAACAGAGATGAAAGTATTTATAGGTTGATGATCTTTTTCAGCAGTCAAAAAACTAAAACCTAGGACAATATTTCATTTATATTAAACCTTAAAATTTCTGGGGTGCCAGAACTAGAAGGGGCAAGGAGAGGGCACGTCTGTTGTGATTCTAGCATGTCTGCTCATGGGGTAGCCTGTTTGAAGACTGTCTCTTCCTACTGGAGAGGACATACTAGAGTGCCTAGATCTAGATCACCCTCTGTGATGAGGTTGTAGTTCATTGCCTCTTCTCAGGATGAGAATTTGGATCCAAACTGGGTCAAGTTGATTTTCTCCCCTGGAAATTTGGAATTGGTCTTTGGAATCATCAAGTCTCTGCCAGTACTTAGAATTCTGAGTCTTAAACCTGGCCTGGTATAGGTTAGTCCTTGTGGTTCATAAATACCTTGTGAAATAGTTCTATTTTTCTTTAGTTTGTTTGGCTTTCTAAGACTAAGGAGGGTCTAAATATATACAGTATCTCTTTCTGTCTTTTTGTTTCTTCTTCTCTCTGTATTTCTCTTTCTCTTATATTTCTGCTGGGTGCCTGTGGCTCTTGCCTGTAATCCTAACTACTCAGGAGTCAGAGATGAGGAGGATCACCGTTCAAGGCCAACCCAGATAAATAATTCATGAGACCTCATGTAGAAAATACCCAATATCAAAAAGTGCCAGCAGAGTGGCTCAAATGGTAGAGTGCCTGCCTAGCAAGCCTGAGGTTCTGAGTTCAAACCCCAGTACTGCCAAAAATAAATCATCTTGTTCAATGTTCTTTTATAAATAAGAAATCAAAGTCTCAAAGAAGCAGATTGATTTGTTCATAGACTTACAGTTATCCAGAAAGCGTGGACATATAGTTCAGGATGGTTGTTTCCTGATACTGTATACTTTCAAATAATGTCATTTTCTCCTCTAAATATACAATGATAGAGAAGAAATTCAGAAAAGAAGTGTAAAATATTTAAAAACAAATGCCAGGGTGTTATTCAATGACATTGGGTTCCCTATCATGAGATGGCAAGTGAAATAACACTGTGAGTCTTTTGTCTTTAAAAGATGTCTTATCTTCAGGAGAGAGGTGGATAGAGAAGAATGAACTGGCAGGATTTTGCTGGGTCTCAATAAATGTTTTCTGCTGTTTTCAGATAAATGATTTTTCAGTAGAACACTTCCAACTCTACAAGTGTAGCGTTCAGTAACAGTCTAATGTTACAGCTGAGTAACAGGTTAGGTAATTTTGGGGGTTAAACGAAGTCCAATCGATGTCAAGTTCAAAACTGAAGCTGAGAAATGTAAACTATGCTGTAATACAGGCAGAAGCTGGATGCTTCCTCTCCCTTTCCTAACTCTATGGCGTCTGACTGATGAGGCTGCACGGAGAAAGTTTCACCAACTTCATGCTATGAAAACACAAGGCATAAATTTTCTCATGTACATAAATCGTTGCCAGTCCTCTCTGAGCTCTAGACCTGAGTCTTGTTCCCAAATCACTTCAGAATTGAGAAAGTTTTATGAATGTTTTGTTCATGGTACTAATTCACATGATGTAAATCAGATACAAAGCAAGTTCATCTAAGGAGGTGACTGTGGTCCAGGTACTCAGGTGGTCCTGAGCAAGGAGTTAATTCCTTTCAGCTCCACTGACCCCCATGTTCACTGCTTTCCTTGAGATTGGGCATGTCAACTATATTCCTTTGGTTTCTAATGCGGCCCCTGCCTACTGTTCCATCCACCAGAAATGTAGCAAAGTGAGCTGCTTTGCCCTGAGGTTACACTGGATTTCAAACAGGAGTGCCTGGAAAGGGTGATGTTTGCCATGGGTATCATTTGAGACTCTGTTGCTTGGGTTGGACAAGGAATTTTCTATAAAGTGGGTAATAGGTGATCCATATGGTACCTTTGTGTGAATTATAAAATGTGAGCTTTACTCCATAAATACAGAGGTGTTCCAGAGTATGTGGCTTCTGAATGGAGCAGAAACTAAATTCAGCCCTGACTCACTAGTCTGATGGTTCTTGTGCCCAGAACAATCTGCATAACTATATGGCCAGTCCCTTGTACAAGGTATGTACCAGTTATGTTCTGTTGTGATGTGGTGCTTATTTTGGTTTTCTTTCTGCCTCATTCTATACCTACTCCTATTTTCCTTTTTCTCCCTCTCTACATTCTTTTAGAGGGGTAAAACACCAGAGGAATTTCATAAAAAATAATTAAAATTAAGTTGGTGAATAATTTAAAACTTCAATGAAGGGAATTATTTATATTTTCATCTCTAATACCTGGTATTGTTAGATAATGATATTTTATTTATAATATTTTTATTTATAATGTATTTATATACTTAGATTATCTATTTCATATATTATATATATGTATAAGCTTATATGTATATATGT